GTCGAGGATCCTGGAGAGAATCTCCAGCCCGGATAAGACTTTGTCCACCTCTCTGTACGGGCAGAAAAGGGACAAAATGTGAAGGTTTTAGAAGGGAATTTATAGTCATTTTTAATATTATTCTTTAGTTATAGGCGGAGGTGGAAGGATCCAATAATAGGATGCAGTGGTGACCTCCAGCCACCAGGTGGCGCCGTCGGCACCTATTGCCGTTTTCCGGGCTCTCCTTGGCTGCATTGCTGGAAAAAAGAGCTCAGTAGATACGTATAACCAAATCAGTGACTCCTCCCCCTACAGTGACTCCGCCCCCCCCCCTGCGCACTCCTAGGATACCCCCTCTCGCCATCCACCCCCCTTTTTTAAACTCCATTATAGAATTTGGTAGTAGGCACATCGATTCTGTGGCCCCCAGTTGGCAGGAGGCACATCGATTCTGTGGCCCCCAGTTGGTAGTAGGCACATCGATTCTGTGGCCCCCAGTTGGTAGGAGGCACATCGATTCTGTGGCCCCCAGTTGGCAGGAGGCACATTTAGGGGGGGGGGGGGGGAGGGTAGTATTCTGACCCATGCAGGCGCTTGCAGGAGACGACCAGCGCTTTGTTCAGGTGGGGCAGGTTGGTGGCCCCGGATTTCACAGCTTCCAGATCCAGCGCGTAGCTGCCCTTCAGGTACTCGTGAGAGAAGGTGCTCAGACCATTGGTGGAGCTACAAGAGGAGGAGAGACAACGACCAATCAGAGATCAGGAGGGAGGCCAACTACAAACTACAGGAATTTAAAGGGTCAATCCATCCAAAACCGACACCTATTGTGGTACAGCCACCCAGAGCCCCGCCCAGGGCACCCAGAGCCCCGCCCACATGGGGTAATACTGACACTCAACATTCCAAAGAGGAGAAGTCACACACAAGCTGGGATGGTGGGGGCCCCTCATAATGGGCACAGCGGGTGTACAGACCCGGGAACTCAGCACAGGGATGGTGGGGGCCCCTCATAATGGGCACAGCGGGTGTACAGACCCGGGAACTCAGCACAGGGATGGTGGGGGCCCCTCATAATGGGCACAGGGATGGTGGGGGCCCCTCATAATGGGCACAGTGGGGGGTACAGAGGTCTCGCTCGCCGGCACCCCCCATAGTCTGGAATATCAGGTTTTCGGTGGAGCGATGTATCCCGGTAACTCTCCCTCGGATTTGGGACTCCCGTGTCCTCGGTGTCCCCAGTACCAGGAAGTGGATTACCTCTCTGCAGAGCTGACTTCCTGCCCGCAGGGCATCAAACTCATCCCTGAGCCGGCGGAGAAACTGGCGGAGGCGGATCGCGGGGGGAGGGGCGGCTTATCATCTTCTCCATCTAGAAGAGAATACAGAGGGAGATGTACAATGTATCCACATCACAAAGAGCACCTGTCAGAGCAGGAGACACACAGGAGCCAACACTACAGACCAGCATGAGGGCCAACTTCAGACAAAACATTTCATTGTGGGTGGAGTGGGAGATGATGGGAGTCTCAGCTGGGAGGACAATTCTTCCTGTGAGGACAGGAAGTGATGGGAAATCTCTCCAATGGGGACACAATGAAGACTCAGTGCTGAGTGCTGAGAGAACATGTGACAATGTATTTAGTGCTGTCAGTGTCTTTCTGCACCGGTGACAACCGCTCTCCCCATTTCCTGTAACAGTGCCACTGACACAGGAAGTAAGGGAAGTTTTCACTAATTTGGTAACAGAGGAATAAAAAAGTGGCACAAGCTCAACTCTTTCCTACTCTTTCCCCCCCCCCCCCGGAATATGTATCTGGGGGATAGAGAAGGACACGGGGTACGCTGCTCCCATGCGGGTCCCCATCCGACCTCCACAGCTAAGTCTGGTCTTGTGCGTAAAACATGTCTGAGAAGGTCCCAGGTGGAGGTCCGTGGGGAAGGTCCCAGAGGGAGGTCTGTGGGGAAGGTCCTAGGGGGAGGTCCGTGGGGAAGGTCTCAGGAGGAGGTCCATGGGGAAGGTCTGCAGGGAAGGTCCCAGGTGGAGGTCCGTGGGGAAGGTCCCAGAGGGAGGTCTGTGGGGAAGGTCCTAGGGGGAGGTCCCAGAGGGATGTCTGTGGGGAAGGTCACAGGAGGAGGTCCGTGGGGAAGGTCACAGAGGTAGATCTGTGGGAAAGGTCTGTGGGGAAGGTCCTAGGGGGAGGTCTCAGGAGAAGGTCTCAGGAGGAGGTCTGTGGGGAAGGTCCTAGGGGGAGGTCTGTGGGGAAGGTCTCAGGAGGAGGTCCATGGGGAAGGTCTGCAGGGAAGGTCTCAGGATAAGGTCTGTGGGGAAGGTCCTTGTGGGAGGTCTGTGGGGAAGGTCCTAGGGGGAGGTCTGTGGGGAAGGTCCTAGGGGGAGGTCCGTGGGGAAGGTCCTAGGGGGAGGTCCGTGGGGAAGGTCCG